TTGGCATTTATTAAAATACAAATTTTTATCATAGTTTATTTTAAATTAATTTTTTTTTTTTATTTACTCTGACACAGTATTTGTATTTTAAGAAATGCCCAAACGTAGCTGGAAAATTGTGTTTTTCAAACAGATTGTAAATAATATATTTTATAAATTTTTGTTAACCACTCAGCTGTGTATAGCTGTGCAAATTGAATTTAACGGTAAATAAAAAGGGTAATTTTTGGGTGTTTTCATATAAATTGCCTTATAAAAATAAAATATTTACAATATTAAGTAAAATAAATAACTTGAGATACCAATTCTATTTTATGAGTTTTTTGGGGATCTTATTTGTTTAAATTCTTTTTAAAATTAACTTTTTTTTAATTGCATGTTTTCTCAAAAATTTCCGATTTTATAATTTTTTGAACTTCTGTGTGTCAAGCAGAAGTGGAAGTGTGGACGCAATTCCATACTTCTCGCGGTGGTCGCTCTCAACTCCTATTACCCGTTAGGGTAAGGTGTTGAACGAAGTTTTCACAGCGGGCGTCTTAAAGACGGGGCAATGTAAATGGAATCCAATACTTCCTGCTGTAAGCGATCTGATGTATTCTGTGTTAAGCAAGGTGATAAACCTAAGTTTCACTTTGGGCTTCTTGCAGATGGGGCAATGTGGACGCAATTCCATACTCTTCACTGTAGTTGCTCTCATCTCCTAATACCCGTTATGGTAAAGTGATAAACAAAATTTTACCACGGGCACGTTCCTATCCCTTATTATTCTCTGTTAGGGCAAGGTGATAAACTAAATGTTCACCTCGAGCGTCATACAGTGGTCTAAAAGGTCAAAAAACCAGCATTTTTTTTATTGAAAATGTAATTTTGTTACATATTTATAATTTGAAAATATAAATTAATTAAAAGAAAATAATAATACCTGTTTTTTTTACCTGTTATCCTTTTTTTTTGGTTTGAGCAGTTTCAATTATCTATAAAATATAATATTTACTAGGTAGCTGTAGGAAGATAAAAAATGTTTTCTTTATTAGATGAATTTTTCTATTTACTCTGACACAATATTTATATTTTGTCAATGCATAAATGTAATAATTTTTTTTTCCAATTTATAGTGAATATTATATTTGTTCAAACCAAATGTTACGGTATATTGAAAATAAAATCGGTAATTTTTGAGTTTTTTTATATAAATTAATTTTTAAAAAAAAAAAAATTGTTTTCTAATATTTACTTACATGATCACTTGGGAACCCACTTTATTTCTAACGTTTTCGGAAAGTCTTAATTGCTCAAATATGTTTTTAAATACAGTTTTTTTTCAACTATTTATGTGACAAAATTACATTTTTTATCATAAAATTCCGGTCTTTTAATTTTTTTAGACTTTTGTGCGTCATGCAGAGGGGGCAGTCTGGACGCAAGTCCATACTCCCACCTGTTAGCGCTCTAATCTCGTATGCCCCGTTAGGAATGGTGATAAAGGAAAGTTTCATCTCGTTCATCATGGAGCAGGGGCAGCGTGGTTACAGTTTCATACTTCTCCTGAAAATTGGCTATAGGTACCTTCTAGTGGATTAGGCCTATGTGGGGATACCACTTTAAAAAAAACGCGCCTTGTGCAGTACCTCAAACGATTGTCGTTTAACGTCTTGTATTCCTTGTAATATTTCATTGACGTTTTCCGATAGTGAAGGTGGTGTGGAAAATTGCACATTATTATTTAGGTTTATTATAAAGGTTCATTATAATTATTTTGTGGTATTCAATAGTCATTATTCCCAATCGTGTAGGGTTTCCTTCTTTTAAAAAAAATATTTATTATTTGATTTGTCCTACTTCACACCTGTCCTATGAGTCAACTTTTTATTTTTTTTGTTAAATTCGGAAATATAGCATGGTTTTCTTAAACGTCTAATTTACAGATGTCCTTTACAGTAAACGCCGAGACGAAATTAAAAAAACTATTAATAGACTCTATAACATAATATTTTGTTGGTTTAAAAAATTATTTAAATAACATGGAAATATTAGGTAAGGTTTTTATGCGACAAGACAATTCCAATGACATTTACTTTTAAGTTTTACAGAAATGTGATTAAATTGACTATGTTGTTTGGTTGGGAGTGTAGAGCGCTAGACAGACAAATAATAAATGTACCACAAGTGAGAATTCGTCATTGAAATTATTCAACTACTTAATAAGTAGTTACTTTATAAGTAGTAGAATGATGAGAGAAGATAGGATAAGGAATGAGTGCTTTACTGTTTAAGTTTAAAATACTCAGACTAGACAAAATGATTGAAAATATTTTATTATCATGTGTTTGAAAATAACTTTCCCATCAGAAATTTTAAATTACAATTTGAAAAACTTTATCAAGAACATAAATAATCAGACATTTTTTTGTTATATTTTTGATCTAGTAGGTTTTTTGCGGATAATGTTTTTTGATTTTCTTAATATTTTTCATAGTAATTCGGAGGAAAAACTGGAAATATATTTCCGTATAATTCGTATAATTTTTGTTGATTTCTAGGTTATCTAGGCAACAGAAATAGTTGAAAGATAAATTAGAATATTATGAATGTTTCATTTTTTTGTATTTTAACAATTGATGTATCTATTTCCCCATAAACAGTATAAACAATAAAAAAAAAATATTTAAAATACCTCACGTAAAGCACAGGATGTGTTACAGTATATTCTCAACAAATTGTATGGCGACCCCCACTGATTAAGAGTACCCTTATTCTTTCGCGTATTAAATAGTTCCTTTTAGATTCTGAACTGAGCGCGGAATGTATTGGTTTTACATTGATGTCTGTTATTATTTTAATTTAATTTTTTCTGTGGACCACAATTGTTTTACCAGTAACTTCGCTACAATTTTCAACGCCAGCACTTATTCCGAGTGGAAATCGGATTTGAGGCGATGCTTTAGGAACGTGATATTTCGATTTTCCCGGGAGTTTTCCCGGCATCCATATCTGACCGGCGGTCAGGGGCCGAGTTTAAGAACGCGGAGGAAAAGAGCGGATTGCCGTGTACCTGTTATGCGTGTTTTATAAGGGTCGGGGTCGTAAAACCGCGCGGACTTAACGGACGGCCACTGTTTAACGCGGCGGCCGTTCCGCTCAAAATAACTTTTACGCTTCTTTTTGGCGGGCGGGCACCGAAAACTTTGTGCACCTCGAGCGCGCGACCACTGTCCGGCACGGGCGCCGCGATTAATTGCTTAAACAGTTTACAAAACAAACTTTTGTGCGGCATAAAATTCACGGGCGACCGCCGCCGTCCGTCTTGCGCGCCGCGCTCGCCGCCAGAACGAGCGCGGCGGCGGCCGTCCGCCCGGCGACGGCCGGACCCGCGGACGGAACCCGCGCGCGCCCATCGCCATTACCGTCGTATACTCTTGTCCGTCCGG